TCTTGGAGTCAACAATGACTCCAAGATCCCTTTCTGCCTCCGTGCTCTCAAGAAGGGAGTTTCCCATCTTATAAGTGTGCTGCTGGTTACTACTGCTCAAGTGCAGCACCCTGCACTTGTCAGTGTTGAAGCACATCCTGTTTTTGCTAGCCCACCCCTGTAACCTATCCAGGCCTTGCTGCAGTCTTTCCCTCCCTACTAGTGTGCTCACCTCACCCCAAATTTTGGTATCATCAGCGAATTTAAACAGGTTGCTTTCCACCCCGTTGTCCAAATCACTGATAAAGAGATTGATGATGATAATAATAATAATAATAATAATAATGAGATTACACAGGTACATTAAAATACTTGGTTCAGACTTAAAAAGGACATAAACTTTAGTAACAAAGGTACTTTGGGAGACACAAATCTGATCTCTCTTCTTAGACCAACTAAAATAGTTGGCAAAATTCTTCTTTGTAAGCTTTCCGGTATAAACACCCTTCATCAGGCTGAGGAAGCATCTATAGTTGGCCTGTGCTCTTCCTGGATGGAATAGAATAAAAGCCAGAGGCCAGTGTGACCACCAGTGAAAATGCAAATTGAGGTAGTCAACAGGTGAGAAACAGGTGGAGGAGGGGATAGAAGGGGAATGCAGACCTGGTGCTAAGAATATAGCTGGTAAATACTAGAGAGGTTACCTGGGGTAAGAGATGTTAGGCAAGTTAATGAATCATAAATCCAGTATCTATATCTAGTCCATTTTTTTGTATCCAGTAGGTTGATGAAATGAAGGTCATAGGCTCATCAACAAAAGGTGTTTTGTAAATTCCCTTTGACAATTAGAACAGAGATTGGAGAGAGAGTGGTTTTCTTGTGATAAATGTGTTCCCACAGGTAATTGGGTATTTTTGTCTTTGATAGATTTATGGTGCGCGTTCATTCTGGTACACAGTTGTTGCTTGGTTTCGCCTACATATTTTCCATCAGGGCATTTAGTGCACTCGAATGAGATGTATTACATTTCTGGAGGTGCAGGTATAAAATCCAGGAATGGTGATGTTTCTGTTGTGGGGTGTAGTTATTGTAGGGGTGGGTAGATATATGTTGGCAGGTTTTACATTTCTTATCATGGCATGGTCTGGATACTTTTGGTGCATTTTGGGCTGTAGGTAGTTTGCTTCTGGTGGTGAGGTTGGCAAGGTTCAGTTCTTGTTTAAAGGCTAGGATGGGTAGTTCTGGGAAGATCTCTTTAAGAATTGGGTCTTCTTCTAGTATGGCTTGCAATTGTTTGAGGATTTTCCACATAGGTTTCAGGAAGGGATGATGTCATAACTAGTGGTGTGAGATTCATGGGGGTTTTCTTTCTGTACTGCAGCAATTCTTCACGTGGCATCTGGGTGGCTCTTTCAAAAGTGCACTCTCTCTCTCTGGAGGAATGTCCTTGTTCAGTGAAAGCCCTTTTGAGATTTGTGAGGCAATGATCATGGATGTTCTCCTCAGTGCACATTCAGTGGTATCAGAGGGCTTGGCTGTATATTACAGCTTTCTTGGTGTGTTTAGAGCGACTGCTGGTTCTATGCATCTATGTATGTTGGTCTGTAGGTTTCTTGTATATGGTAGGCATTTACGAAACATTCCCCTCCCCCACCCCCCACCCCCATTTCTCACCCATTGACTGTTTCAATTTGCATTTTCACTGATGGGCATTCTCGCATACTGGCTTCTGGTTTCTATTCTGTTCCATCCAGGAACAGCATAGACCAACTGCAGACACTTCCTCAACTTGATGAAGGCTGTTTGTATTCAAAAGCTTGCAAAGAAGAACTTTTCAAACTATTTTAGTTGGTCTAATAAAAGATATCTGATTTACCCAAAGACCTTTACCTGCCAGAGTTCTTTACTGATATACAAAAGGGAATTTGAAAAATCACACCTGCACTAGTTAGATAAGGGCCTGCAAACCAAAGTCAGCTGTGCAGTCCTGCATTACTTGTATAGCACCCACTCACAAAAGAGTGTCCTTGACCATGGGATGGAAAGGAGTTTGACAGAGCCAAGCAGAAGTGGTCCTGGCCAGCCTAGAAGCGGGGGGTACTTTTGGTGAGAGGGCGCAATGTCAGTATAAAAGTAATCACCCTGAAGGATGAAAACACCGATCTTTCACACTTCAGAAATGATAGTGGTGAATATTACCAACTTAAGCATGAGGCTATGGATAAAGGAGCTGAGCTTTAAGTCAAAGATGTGCTGCTATCTCCCATTCCTTTTTGGAATCTAAGCAATAACTGTTGCTTTGAAATACAGCTTCAATTCCACTTTTTCCCCTGAGTGAAGACAAACTTCCTCTATTACCCCAAGAGCTAATAGGGAGACATCTTTTTATTTCAGGGATCCCTTGAGAAAAACTCACATCCCTCCAACATAGAAAGAATTGTGTCCATGTAACCACAGTTGTCTTTCAAGCTGAAGAGGTCTCCCTGTCAGGCTCTTCTTGGAACTGAAGCTGCAAATAATATGCTGCAAAATAGTAGTGCAAAAAATTCTCAAGTGTCGCAGGTGATTCTCTGTCCTGGACATCACCAGAGCAGTCTCTATGGAACCAGAAGTCAGTGCTGCATCCTCAGTACTAATGAACTGCCAAGCTCTACCATCAGGATCTTCACAGGACTGTGCAAAGTCTGGGAACAGGTAGGATGGGCAAGTGGTGAAAGCTGAAGGCTGGCAAAGCCTCAGGATGGGGACCTTTCTCTGGAACAGTCTTAAGGTCTGTGCTTAACACAGGAAGAGGAAAATTGCTCCCTCAACAGGAAGTGGTGTCTTACAAGGTTTTGCACCCTTAAAGCTGAGGCTGATTCTGTGGACTTCCCTGAGGAGGCAGACCTGGAGATCCTAGCCTCATGCTCCTTACTAGAACAGGCATTGGGATGCACTTAATATGCCCATCCATTGAAGGCATAGCTCCACTGCAACATGGTCACTGTCTAAATCCTAGAGACTTGGGAGGCACCACAGTGATGGACAAGAAATAGGAGGAAAAAAAAAAACCACAAAAAAAACCACACACACTGAGAAGAGGGAAAAGGAAAAATTACAAAGATGTGATATAACAGGGAAGGCATAGCATCACACAGTTGAAGCCCCATGTGGCATGGGCTAAAGGAAACCCAAGGTCTTCAAGAGAACAGAGATCAGGAAAAATTAGAAAGTTCCAAAAAAAATAAAATAAAAAAAATAAAAAAGGGCGTGTGTGAAGGGCTGTGGTGGTGAAAACCTGGTTAGGGTAAAAATGTAACAGCTAAATTGACAATAGTGGGCTTTTCATAAGGCTGTTAACCAAATGCTATCTGAGCTGACTACAGAAGGTTCCATCTTGAGGCAAGGCAATTGAGAGAAACTGCAAAGTCTGGAAGCGTGCTTAAGTCCTTCAGGCACTCAGTGTGGTACAGAAAGATGCCGGGCACATGTGCTGTACAGGTACTGCTGGAAAGAAAGATGCCAGGCACATGTGCTGTACAGGTACTGCTACAGCCAAAAGTCTTAGCTAAAGTGTAAGGTGCATGGGCACTCAAAGGACAAGTTATTTTGTCCCAGAGATGCATCCTACAATAGTAACAGCTTAAGATGGTACCACTTACTGCATTCTAAGATAGCACAACATATGCAGATTATGTGTGGATCAGAAAGAGATCTTTCACCCATGGAGAAAGAATCAGGAAAATTAAGTGCAAATATGAATTTAGAGGATTAGTACATGAGAAGTAAAATTGATGGTGGACCCAAAATGTTTGAAATAAAAACATGTACTTACTTGTTCCTCTGCTACAAGTAATGGATGTGTTGATTCTTCACCTACTGAGGGGAGCCGTGCACTTCCTACAGAAGGATGTCTGCTGGAAGGGTGTGAAGAAGCATCTCCAAAGGAGGGATGTCTGGGATATCCATTAGGTAAACTTTGTGCATTGAAACCGGGAGCTGATTTAAAAAAAGAGAGATCCATCAGAAAGATGGTACTCACAGTAACTTCATGTGCATTAATGAGATGTCTTCTTTTCTCTTTCTAAAGTGCTTTGTATGCTGAATGTTATTAAAATATGTAAATTAACAAATTCTGAACATTTATAAGACCAGGCATCTGCTTGGAAAAAAGGCACCACTCAACTGGAATGGACCCAGTATTTACTTGTGAACACAATGATTACAAGCAATTTTTCATTCCCACCAAAAGATAAAGAGAAGTAGCATCACTGATTTAAAGGGAGATGCAATTAGAATCAACATGTATTTTCTTAACTTCATTGCAAGCTGTACCATTTGCGCAGGAGAGAGAGAGAGAGAGAGGCACCACACAATGAAAATGTAACATAAAAATGCCATTAACAAGGAATTGTCAAAATTACCTTGAATTGTTTGCCATCATATTTATTATAAAGGTTTATCTGAATGAAATGCAAAAGATGTATCAAATTCCAGGCTAAACGTACGGTAGGCAAAGTATTGCCTAAAATTATTTCATGAGAGGGAAAAAAAAACAAACAAGTCAACTGTTTTTTCCAGAAGATTTTAAATCTTTCCTTTCTACACTGCCAAATTGTTGCAATTTTCTAGATAACATAGGGATGTCACAAGATATTTTTATGATGTCTCTACATACAGAAGCATCTACTTTTGAGCACTATATACTTTTAACCAGTTAGCAGCACGCACAGACACCCAAATCAAATTTTAAAAGTTAGATGCTGTTACAGTCAGAAGTTGTACTCTGAGAGAAGAACCATGCTTACTGGTGGGTGTTCGAGGGGTTCTTGGAGCTTCCAACTCAGTTTGATGATAATTTCTTTCTACTACTGGTTCTTCTACTACGTTTATACTATTATTCTGCATGATTTCTTGCAGCATATTAAATAGATCTTCTGCACGAGCACACTTAAAGGCAAAGATTCCTATAAACAAAACAAAAACATTTTAAACCCTTTTGTGAAAACAGTCGTTTTGGAAAATTAGTACATAAAACCTACAACAACTGAGCAGGACTCTCCTTAATGAATACCTGTTAAAGGAATAAATGTGTTAAAGAAATTTTTTGTGCACTAATCAAAACATACAAAAATACAGTTATCACACCTTTTAAATGTATACCTAGTAACTGAGTAAATTTCCAATACACCAAATGGTAGATTGGGGGGGTGGGGGGGGAAGGGAGGGGAGTTGGGTGAGGGGGAGTGGTCTAAAGAAAACAAATTGTTAAAATTTAAGGGTGCTAAAACAAAGGGAAAGGCATATGTCATGAAACAGCAATGTCTAACTGAATTCTAATAAGTCGACCTGTTATAACAATACAACTTTGGTGTTTCAAGGTTATATCTTATCAGTTTTTTTAATCACGTTGTCATGAAAATGCCTGCACAATAGGAAAGAAGGGTTTTGACCTAGAGTACTATCCAGGTTTTTAAAGAAGGTTAAGAAGAAGGGCTAGAAGACAGGTTGTGTGAAATAGACAGCAACAAACCAATTTTTCAGTCTTAGGGATAGACACAAAATACAAAGTTGGCAGCAATACCTGTATTTTACTTGAGCATTGTGCCACTTTGCCTTTGAACAGCAGAGGGAGCCCAACTTACCATCACCAGCAAAGAGACAACCAGTGAAGTCGCAGCTTTGGGTTATTCTTCCATTGAAAGCATTAAGTTAAAGTTGATATTCTTGTTAAAAGAAGTGCGTGTATGTGCTTTTGCTCTTTAAAATAACTGGGTTACTTCTAAAAATGCTCTTTATTTACAACTACCTTTATGTTAATATAATCCTGAAGTGTAATTATGTTCACATATTATTTAGGCAACTAGTTATAAGTGAAGTTCATTTTCTGAATGCCACTGAAGAGTTACAGATCAAAAGTATGGTTGCAGCTTATAGACTGTATTATACTCTCTGCAGTCTAACAGTTCTTCTGTGAAAATTCATACAGAGAACCTTAAAACATTTTGCCCCCTGAATTATAAATGTTTAAGAAAACTTAAGTGTGTTCTTGAGAAATCCAGTTTGCTTTTCTTTCATCACAATAAAAATGCTCTACTCCCAAACTAAAACTTATTCCAAATATGAACACTTAAGTTGAATACACAGTGAAAAGGGAACCAAAATCAAGACTTTGCTCCATCAATTTCTCAAACGCTTTCAAACTAAAATCATACCATCTGTGATTAGGCCAAACAATCAAAAGCAAATGTTCACCATTCAGACCTTCCCCCTGCCCAAATTCTCTTCTCTGAAATAAGTTAACTAAATAGCCAAGGTCTGTCCATGATTATTTCTATAACCAGCACAGAAACCATCCTAGTTTTGAAATACCTTTGAATTCAGAGGGACAAAGAATCTGACTATACCATCTTACATTTTAGGAAACGGGGGAAAAAAAGATAGGAGATAGGAGACAGTACTTTGCACAATATCCCCTAATGTCTAATATAAGTAGATTAAGTTTCTTTAAGTGCAGTGCTGTACAGAAAAGAGACAGCATAGAACAAATATTTTCTGTCCCCCCACTTCCATTTTCCTGATATTCCCTGCCTCTTATATTAGGTAAGGAAGGTAAAAAGCAGTTGCTGTTGCATACGCTGCAGGCTTAATAACTCGCCTTCAAACTGTAATTTTTGCAGATGCACAGTTAGACAGACACACTTTAGGAAAATGCTTTCGTGCTGGTCATTCACAGAAGGAAAAATAACCTTGAAATCAGTACTTCCAGTTGAATTTCGTCAGTATCTTAATACATTTAAAAAATATTAAGGAAAAAACTGAACAAGCAAAATCATTTTTAAAACTATGTCTTTGTTAAAAGAAGGCCTATTCATTTCCCCCTAGAATTCTTATTTTTCAACAAAGGAAGAATACAGCATGGAGCACACTAACATTTAGAAAAAAATAAGTTCTTAATTACTATTTATATGCATGTATACTTTTAGTGCCAGCCAACCTGGTTAATAATGACCACCAAACTAACCATAGGGGAGCTGAATTTAAATGACTCACTCATTTGAGTCCCGTTTCTCTTTTTGGGGTTTTTTGTTGTTCTCCCGCCCTGGCGGGGGGTCGGGCTAGAAGATCTACTAGGTCCCTTCCGACCCTTAATCTATGAATCTATGAATCTATGACTGAAAGCCATTCTCCAAAATGCTTTAAATTATATAAGAGCTTTTTTATATTTAAAACTTTTGACTTCTAGAAATATGTTCAGTGCTTACATTTGTTAGGTTGTAAATTTTAAAAACACATGGTAAACAAATTACTTATTAATTTCCAAAAAGCAAACAAAAAAACCCAAAATAACCCTAGCTTTTCTTTATTTATCTTTTTAATTGTTCATTTCTCTCAATTCTTACAATGAAGACCAAACTGAAGGTAAATCAGTTTTTCTTCTGTGAGGGTCAGATTTGCTCTCAGGTTTTTAGCATGGCAGTGTTTAGGGTGCACATGCTGAAGAAAAATATTTGTTCAAAACAATGATTCTCATCTCTGTACATTGGAGTTACATTGCACAAATATACTATTTACACATTATCAATTTTAATCACAAAAAAGTGAGTACACACAGCTCAGCAAGGTCAAAAACACAGTACAAGGTGAACAATGGACAACTCCAATTACTTTGACTTTAAAAAGTGTTGTTTTTTTAATGTAAATTAACATGTCAAGCCAGATCCTTTGCCCTAGTCTGGCAGCTTCAGCTGTACTAAAGGGGGAGTTCACATCTCTTGAAAGAGTGGGTGCATTTATGTGTGTGCTTTACTGTGGAGCAGATTAACTCTGCAGTAAAGCATCATACTTTATAAATGCAGTGCTATTAGGGCGCAGTAAACTAATTATCCCCGCCATAAGATACTACTGTTGGGGAAGTACTGTCTTATGGTGGAATACTTTACTGTGTCAAAATGCACACATAGATGCTGATCAGGGCTGTAAACTGCACCTTGTCAGCCCAGCAAGCAGAGGACTTGGGCTGCCCTGGCTCAAATTGCTGCTGTCCCAGGAACATGTGTTGACACTGCGCCTGGGAGCAGTTTACTCCAGCTCGAACCATTCCAGAGTTTATTGTGTCCTATTAATTGCATGTGTAGATGTACCCAATGTAAGCCCATTTCTTGCATCCCTGCTCTAGAGGGATGCACATGGGTAGGGAAAGGCAGGAGGGAGCAGGGGCAGGAAGAAAAACCAAGGAACAACACAGTACTTTGCCCAGGCCTTGACCAGTGTTGGTGTCCCTATAGTGTTGTGGTTTTCAATCTTTTTTAGGCTCTGAGCACCCTTCCTTAACGCCTTTGAATTGAGCAGCATTCTATTTCAATAACTAATTTATTTACTGCAGCACTTATCTCCTGGCACAGGGATGCACATGGGGTGGGGGGAAGGAGCAAGTACTTAGCTCCTCACAAAGCAGCAGGGCAGGGACAATCATGTGCTTACCTCCTTGTTCTGGAGGCCAGCATGAATAAACCTGCGCTTAGCTCCTCACACATGGGAGGGGAGAGGAGAGAGCATTTAGCTCCTAACACAGGGGCTAGCAGAAACAAGGATCAGCTTACCTCCTTGCACTGGAGCTAGGTAGAGAGGAGCCTAAATTTACTTGGCATAAGGGCTGGGCACAGAAAAGCGAGAGCTTAATCTCCTTGCACCCTGCGGCACCGTCAAAAACAGATTTTGCAGCAACCCTATTTTGAACCACTACCACAGTGACTGGTGCAGTGAATGTAATTTAGAACCATCCATAGATCCTTTCACAGAAAGCTAATTCGACCCTGCCAAATCAGCTCAGGATTCAGAGAACATTAAGGTAGCCAGAGCTGTCTTTTGATTTCAGCTGCACGGAGAATTAATTCAGTGAAACCAAAATCCAAGTTCTTTCAATTTAAAATGTGATGATATAATGGAATATATGTCACTGGTGTTTGACTTTTATTTTAAAAAGTAAAAAAAAAAGAAGGTATTTGTAGTGCCTGGTGAGGGGAGGAGGGAAATGAACGTTTTAAATATCTTGCTTAAAATGAGTACCTGATTATACAAACACTTAGATCTGTTCTTTCTTTTTCCATTTACCTGTCTTCATAACAGTTGTATGATTTAGTGATTGAATTCAATAATAAAGTCATTTTTGTTAGTTCTTAGATATTTGGTATGGCTTCTAAGACCTCCATGTCACAAGTTTTCTCCTCCAAAACAGCAAAATTCCAGGCCAGCACTCCAGAGTCAGGAATGCTGGACAGATCCCTCAAAAGGACTCATCAAAACAGTTTCTAAATTTACGAGTGGTCAACATATGTAAACCTAAAGTACCTCAAATCTGACTACTCCAGGAACCAGAAGTTTCCCAGTGTCCTCATTTTACGTATGGGAGACAATCTGTTATAAGGCAACTAAATATACTCACTTAAAGTGTAGCCGTTTACCAGAACATCTTATAAAGGGCATTTGCTTTTTCCACACATACCCATTGTGCACCACCCCAAGAATCTACACACGTGGTTCAAAGAAAACAAACCAAATCCCACATAAATTATTTTACAGTCCTGCTCTTAGGAAGGCAAACCTGAGCAAGCCAAATTTAATTTGCTTTTCCTATCTACAGTCTACATACCTTGTCCAGTCTGACATCGTCGACCACTTTCAAAAGAGAAGAGATTTGAATCATAGCCATAGCGACGGAGACAGAGGTAGTGCCATTTTACAGAGTCACGTTTACGGGTGTATAAAATTAGTTCTGTATCTGTAAGTTCCATTATGCCAGAACCCAGTTCATTACCATCATCATCCACATTAATGACCTATAAAAAAAATGTTTTTGAGTACCTATACTAATATCTTCTGGCATTCTTATTCTTGTACCACATTTCTTAGCATTTTAGAAAACAAAACATGTTCATAAGAGCAAGTCAAAAAGTCCTAATTCCCTAGAAGATTATTTTCCCCTTAAAATAACCCAAGAAGTACGTGTTTAAAAGCCATGGGAGACAGGGGAGGATAAAGCCCTTCTTTAACTTGACTGACAAGAGAAATTTGAGTCTGAAATGGTCTATCTAATAAATCAGGACTGCATTTGTAATATACGTAACTTACATAAATAAATACTACATAACTCTCTCCCCTTTTATCACTGTATCCTTTGGGGACCCCTCTTTATCCCCAGTGTAACTTGGGCATTGTCAACATTTATTCCCCTAGAACAGCACTTCTCAACCTTTTTAGACTTAAGGTACTCCACACATTAGACTTAAAGCACTCCTTGGAATATGACAGCTCTCACTTTTCACTCATTTTTTTACTGAAGTAATAGAGCAATTCTTCTGTTGCTCTGTTACTCAGAAAGACCAAAACAGGTCAGAATGTTTTTAAACATTATGAATTCTGATTTGAAATCTCTGGATTTACTTTGTGAATGAATCGTGGTTGCATACCTAACAACGATAACATTGTGTGACACCCCACAGCACCCTGGTTGAGAATCACTGCCTAAGTAATACCTCCACTTTTACAGCATCTTTATTCACTGTGGCGGTAGGGGTGGGAGTGGAGATGGGTGGCTCTTTAATAAGAGCAGCTTTTAGGGGGCCACTCCAATTAAAGTGCCTGCAGTGTCTGGTGTATTCAGAATCTAGCACTTCAAAATGGATTGCTAATTGTTTGAATAGCATGATTAAGCGAGTCTGCTCTGACAAACAGCTGGAGCAGAAGTACCTTATGTCTACAGGCACCCTCAGTGCCTCAGGTACCCTTTTGTTCTTTAGTTCTTACAATAGATTCTTGGTATCTATTCTATGGTATTTATTATTTCTGTTCATTAGACAGGCACTCATATTAAAATCTGATCTATATTAAAAGAGTTGGTATTAAATTAAATCTGCCTTGAGGTCCAGGCCAATTTTGGGGGGCTAAGTGAGAGATCCATACAAACAATAAAAGAACTAGCTCTATGGGAAAAGAAAGAAAAACTTCATGCAAAATAAACAGACAGCTAAATTAAGAAAAGTTTTGATCTTTCTTTAAAGATGAACCTGTAACAACAGTTTTTAAAAGATTCCAGACATTAAAATGATACTAAAATTCACAGCATCTTTTTAAGTTGATTGCAAGAGTAAGCAATCAAACAAGGTGAAAGAGCTGCATTCTGCTCCAGTATCAAGATTTATCTGCACTTACTGGGTTCTGCTGGTTGACTGCAGCCATCACTGCCAACTTGTCTGAGAATGCAGACATACTTATTTCCAGCAGCTGCACACACTTCCACTGCAGCAGAAGCATTACTAGACTGCAAAGCGCACCCTGTGAAAGCACCAACTGCTGAAGAGACTGCTTAAGACAGCAGAGCATGCAGGAGTGTACACATCTGCCAGTGACAGGATGGTGGTAGAAGCTCACTCTCTCTCATGCAACTCTCCTGCTGCAGAGGGTCTTTGAGTGTGGATGCATTAAAGGTCTGACTAAGCTGAAAAGCCAAAGTTGATTCTTATGTGGCTGTGCAAAATGAAGCTACCCAAGTCAAAGGGATTAACAGTAAAATCATACAAAAAGGGACCTCCAGAGGTCACTTAGTCCAGGGATCAGCAAACTTCACCCCAGGGACTGGACCCCAGGCCACAATAAGTCCCACCTGGCACAGGGAAATCAGTCTCACAGAGCTGTGCTTTGCCACACTGCCCCTTCACATTATAGTGATCTCCTCTGCTACAGAGATCACTGCCTGCAGCATCTGAACTCAGAGTGGGTGGAGGGCAGGGCAGACACTTTCGGCCTGCACCAAGGGCTGGGTCATAAACTCTAGCCCCTGCCAGCAAAATGCTAGCAACTAGTGATCTAAACCAACCCTCTGCCTGAGGCAGGACCATCCCTATCCAAACCATCCCATACAAATCCTTGTCTAACCTGTTATTAAAACTATACAGTCAATCCTAATACACAAAGTCATAGCACCCTATCCTGCCAAGTTCAATGCATGCATAAATATTTATGGACTTAAAACACCTAGAAATTCTTTGAATTCAGATCCAACCCAAAGTTACTGAACAATAAGTTAAGATAATATAACAATGTACAGCAAGTGATCCCCCAAAAGCTACACTGATATCGATCTTTTGTTCAAATAATGATATATTTCTTAGGTTGTGTAAGACAGGGCTTTTTACCTTACTGAAAGGTCAAAGGTTTATGAATCTCCACTGTAACTGAAAACCAGGCCTGATAAGGCACTCCCCCAAAAGTCTGTCTAGTCACACATGCTGGTGGGTCTGATAGCTTCATTTTTGTGTACTTTGCACACGTTTTTCACTCAAAGTTTATCTCTGGGTCTTGCTTTTCTAAGGTAAAAAAACCCAACAAAACAGTCTACACACCATATAAAGTCGATGGCTTACCTTAAACTTGTTTCGATGGTTATCTGGGACAGTTTCTTTATCTGGACAGCTACAACAGCTACCCATGACTTCTTTAAAAGACCATGTGATCTCTGAAGTTAAAAAAAAGATAATTTACTTAGGGGAAGGAAACGTTACAATACCTACTAACTAGGTATTTCAGTAGCATGACAATTAAACAGATTTGGTTGTAGGATTACAGATCTTTATGATTCATTTTGCAGCAGTCAAGTTATTGAAACAAAGTAAAGGCTACTTTTCACATTTTGAAATACTTATTTCCTTAAGATTTTACTTCAAGGAAATGCTGCTCTTACAAATCATTGGCTACCAAAAGTTACATTTGTGGTAGCCTCCAAATAGATCTATTCAAGTTATGAACTAGAATCCAGTAGCAACACTTGGAAAAATAGTTCTTGGGCAAGATCCTCACCCCTCCTCCAACCCTTTTACACCAGGTAGAAGGGTGATGAAGATCTTTCATGCCATTAAGTCCCAGCTCTGGGACATGTGCCACAGCACATGCACAGTGAAAGGTAGCCTTAATGACATCCTAACAAAAGTTGGTTGTAGGGGGATTACTAAAGCAACACTGTAGCCCTGAAGGTAGTCCTAGAAGGCTGCCTTAACTTAGATTCCAGGCAGAAGTTACACCCGAGGTCTTTCCAGCCCTGAAGGATCCTAGTATTGGGAATACTTGTGAAATTACAGCACAGCATCTCATCCTTTTTATTTTAAAAACAAATAAATACATAAAAACAGCTATTTAATAGGGGTGTGCGAAGCAGGCCCAATTTGATTCAGATTCAGCCCGAATCAAGGACAGTGATTCGACCCACTCATTCAGATCACTGTCCCCAATTCAATCCAGCTGAATCTGAAGATTCGATGCTGATTCAGAGAATCAGTGATTTGGACATAGACACAGCTTTCATAGTTGGTAGGGTTGGAAGGCACCCGAGCAGATCATCAAGTCTGACCCCCTGCCAGGCTTTAAGTGTTTTTTCTACATACCTCAAGGTACCAGCACAGCTCGTGAGCGCTGTGATGGTGGGGCACATTGAGTGCCCCACAGGAGTGCAGGGGGGCCCTCCACGTGTTCAGCAGCAAACCCGGAAGTGGACCAGAAGTATTTCTGGTCCAGTGCCAGGTCCACTGGGGAGCATACAGCCCCCCCCTCGGCTTGGCAATCAGCCACGGGGGGGACCTCAGGTGCCCCACCAGATCCAGGGAGGCACCAGTCACTGAGCTGGGGGGCTGCAGGGGAGCCCCCCCAGCATGCTACCCAGCAGACCTGAAAGTGGATCGTATGTGCTTCTGGGTCACTTCTGGGTCTGCTGCTGAGCACGCTGGGCAGCTCCCCGCGCTTCTGTGGGACACTCCATGCGCCCCAGCATCGCAGCATTCACAAGCCACCTGCTACCTAGAAGTTTGTAGAAAAAACATTTAAAGCTGCGTCTCTGTCCGCATCACCTAATCTTTCCGATGTGATCTGGAGAGATTAAAGGGTCTCCTGATTCGATTCAGATTTGGAGATTCAGCCACAAAATCCGCTTAGTATCCAACTAAGTCCATATAAGCGAAAAGGATAATTTAACAGGAAGCCTTTTGACAGAAATAAAATTAACAAGTCAGACAATTTGATAAGTACAGAGGGGAGCCACCAGTCAAAAACACAGACTTCTCTCTGGTCTCACTAATGGTTACAATTTAAAGCAATTTTATTCCAACTAAAAGAATGACTGCATTTTTGTTATTGTTCTGAAGGGAAAGACATTGTTTTCTTTCAAACGATAAAGAGGAAACTTGGATTCTCTTTTGGTCAATCCAGTTAATTCTTACTATTAAACTGTTGGCCAGACAGTCCTCTTACCTTTTTCAATCTCTCTCACTCCCCCACCCCTCCCATATCCCACTTTTACTAGAGCAGGGGTGTCAATATCCCATGCTGGATCTGGACTCTGGGGTTCTTCATGGGTCAGGTCCAGCCTGGGGCAGTAGCAGATATGACACAGGGTATGAGGCAGCAACAGATCTGGCTCAAGGAACAGGGCATGTGGCAGCATCAACAGGTCCAGTAGTGAAGGCAGTAGGGCAAGTGCATGGACCAAATAGCTGCTTGCTGCAGTGGTGGAGAGAGGCCCAGTCCCCTATCCTGCCAGCAGAGGGGATCTAGCCAAGTGTTTTTTTCTTTTTAAACTTCTTGCCTTTAAAAGCCCCAGCATAAAAACTCCCCCCATACAGTTATGGTTCAGGTCTGTTTCCCTCTAGTCCAATGGTTGGCAATGTTTTCCAGCAGTGAGCTACAATGGTCCATCTCTGATCCAAGGTGGGCCAATGCCATGGTGCTAAAACCCAGCTGCCTTCATGCCTCCTCCTTGCCCCCAGGCTGCAGCATGGCATAGGAAGGCTCCCATCACCCAGCCATGGTTTAGTGCAGGTGAAAGTTTTGCTACTGAATGCCAAAGTCCCAGTTCCGCAGGTTGGATCCAATGACTCCAAGGGCTGGATCCAGCCTACAGGCCATAGGTTGCCAACCTCTGCGCTAGTCCACTGATGGTGTTCCTCATTTATTCTGATATTGTTTAAAGCAGAATATTGTTTATTCTGATATTGTTTAAAATATTGTTTAAAGCAGAAGTGGCAACAAGGAGCTGTAGAACATTAAAGGTAATACACATAAACACATTTGTAGACAAGGTTCTCAAACTGTGGTCTGCAGCACTTCTACAGTTATAAAGGGGAAAACTCTGGTAGTATTCAAGAAGAGATAGCTGTGGTTGGATAAATGTCAGTCTTAGGACATCCAGCAATATTTGGTCAAGCTGAAGACAGAACTAAGCAGTATCATGCATTGATGAATTCACAGTATTTCTTTGGTGCAAACATAACTATAATCCAATATGATAGCTTGGGGGTTGACAACCTCCAGACCTTTGGGTTGGATCTGAATTGCCAAAAGATTTAATCCAGCCCACAGAGTCAGTGGGGTTAGTGGCAATTCAGCAGTGGTGACAGCAATAATGGCCAGATTATAAATGGTGGCCCACATTTGGGCCAAGCTCCATTAACTTAGCTCACCACTCCTAAAAGGTTGCTGATCCTTGTGTTACACTATTCAGAACTGGGGTGCCAGCAAACTTGGAACACAAAATCAAATTGTAAAGTGACTCAGGAAAATTAACAAGAGACCCAGCAGTTAAAATTTGACATGCCATCTCAAGAAGAGATAATAAACAGATACACGAACCAGAAGAAAAGGAATGTAATCAAGTAAACAGAAGATTTTTTTTCTTTCCTCCTTAATATCCTGTGATTAATGCTTTAGGTAACCATGCACTACAAAGATGCTTCAGGGAATATATGGCACTGAAGTGAGAAAAGGATAGGCGGAGGATATGGCAGAAGTCAGAGAACTGGTGAAACTAAGTTGAATTCACTCACCTAGATTTGGCCATTAATATTCCTAGCCTCTGTTGCAGCATCAGGACTTCTGTCATACTTCAAAATGTCATGCTGTCTCTTCACATGAGCAACCACTGGATCTAAAACTGAAAATGAGAAAAAATTATACTTGGCATGTCTTTCTTATACTCTTTTTTTTCAGACAGACACACACAATAGTGTACACACACACAACACTGTATTTGCAGATGGTTTTATTTTAGAGGTAGTATAAACTTTCATTCAGAGCTTTGTATACTGGCCCAAACAATTTTCAAGATTTTATAGGTGTCATGACAAAAGAGGATAATTAACCTTACAGATGTTTATAGGAAGCTACTTGCAAGTGAAAGAGGACACATTGGAAAAAGCCCAAATCTGCTGGTTTAGGAAGTTATCAAGTGGACAATGGAGGCTGGCATCATTAACCAGCTGCAGATGGGATCCAATTTCAAGAATGAATCCAAGAAGGCTGGGGGTACACCACAAAGGACCTTGAAAGTGAAGACAAGCAGGTTATGATTAATGTGTCAGTGAAGGGGGAACAAGCAGAGGGAATACACTGATATTATCCTAAATATTCTCTAGGATAAATTTTATCTATGCTGTCCTGTGCAGGCATTCCACTTGTTTCAAAAACTGGGGATCAAGGAGCTGTGCACTTGGTGCCTTTCCCTCCATTTAGGTAGATGGAAAGTGGAAAGAGTGGGTGAGCTCCCCTGATGGAACCCAACCAGCAGGAACTGTTAGCAGTGGACTTCCCTCCTAATGGAAGGTAAGAGTATAACAGGTATTGTGAATGACCTTATTATTCAGTACTAGTAGAGGTATTCATGCATACCATGCAAAATCCCACTTCTAACTAGCCAATCTCTGATGCTTTGGAAGAAGGTAAAAACCTACAGAAGAAATTTGCAATGTGAAGGGGGAAATTGCTGCCTGGCTCTGACAAGAAACCCTAAAGGATAAAAATACAATATACACTGTAAGCACGTGGAGATCAAGGGACAGGGATGAAGTAAGGACAGAGCCTGTTCCAAAAAGATACTTTACAAAAATGCGAGCAAAATTTTTGGTGAGCGTGTCACACATTAGCCCCACAACCTCCGCAAGTGTCACCCAGTCTTGTTCCCTTACCTGATGTGCTGCTCTACTTTCTGCTTCCTGCCCTATGCTCCCTACGCAAACTGCTGCTTGCTCCTCCTTGCCATGTGCTCTCTGCTTGACCTGATGCTTTGCTTTCTGCTCCCTGCCCCATCTGCCACTGTGCTGCCTCCCCAGTCTGTCACGTGCCACACAGAGAGGCCATCTGTGGCACCCATGTTGCAGGTTGGCCACACTTGTTTTACAGCTACCTGAAACCAACCTTCCTTATGTGTCCACAAACTACAGAATCTGCATAGTCTCAACTAAAGCATGTCCTTGAAAACAAACCTGCCTCAAGGAGTCCTAGCTAAGTCAATGCTACTATTCCCATTGCTAAAAACCTCATGAATATTGGAAGTCTTTTTCTCTCAGGAAACTGCATCTTGCCTTGAGACCAAACTCTCTAGCGTTATCCACTGCCATTGGATCCTGCCATGCAGTATCAGCAGGGTCAAGAGCCCCAAACCAGATAGTTCCCAAATCCGTTCACATGCAGGCAGCTACTTAAAAAAATCATGTCTCTTTCAACCCTCTCATGGAGACATCAAGAAATCAAACAACCCAAAGCCTCATACTACCAGCAAATTTTCACCTCCTACCCTGTCATACAATTCTTTTCATGAACTTATCAAATTCCAGCTTGAAACAAATTCTATACCTTGCCCAACTACCCTGTTTGTAAGGTAGTTCCAAAATGTTGCTCCGCTGTAAGTTTCCAATCCAAGTGTATTCATGATCAATTTACATCCGTATTACCCTGTACTAGAATTATACTTCAATTTACATCAGTTGTCATTCCCCCAATCATCCTATCAGCCTTTCTCTGCACCAATTAAGTGAATCTTTTTTGAACATCAGCAACCAGAAACATGCACAATATTCTAAATGATGCCCTTTTGATGCTTGTACAATGGTACCAATACTTGGTTGGAATAATATCCACCCTGATGTATCCTAGAAGCACATTATCCTTTTTACAGCTCATGTTAATTCAATAAACCCCAAGCCCCATTCTTCTGTCACCTCTAGTTCTTCAACCTAGTAGTTTCTACTTATAACAAAATTTCTTATTAGTCTCTAAATAAAATGAAGTAAGAGTACAATTGCAAAGTTACTTATTTGTAATATTCCACACCAGAAGGTCATCTAATTCTTCCTAGAAGAAAATCAAGTCCTACTCAGTAGTGGCAACACCCCCCAACTTGTCATCCACAAATGTCATTAGCACACTTGTAGTTCTGCACCAAGGTGCTTAATGAAATTTTTAAACAAGATTGGTCACAACATCAACCCCTGAGGAAACCTCTAGTAACTTTTCTTTTCTGCATCCCAATACAGTGGAGCGGACACTGAGTTACACTGGAGAGTTAACTCACATCCACCTTACAGTTCTTGGATTAACCTCTAATGCTCCACCTTAAAAATAATTTCCTGAGACTCTATCAAAAGCTTTGATTAAAACTAGATAGACTTAAGTCCACTGCATTTTTCTCATCTACAAAGTTTGTTATCTTATCAAAGATACTAGGTTAGTCTGACACAAACTACTTTTGATAAAACTGTGTTGCATTTTATCCCATTTTCCATTTATTCCTATATCCTTGATTATGTTTTCCTTTAAAATCTGTTCTAAAAATCTGCATAGTACTGAGGTCAAGTTAATGGGTCTGTCATC